TTTCCAAACCCTGCTGAATTATCCCATGCAATACTCTTTCCGTGGGCTGGCAGGATGCTTTTCCATGGGGCTGCTTCCTTTCCAGGGCTTCTCCATGCCTCTGTGAGCCCAGGCCTGCTGGAAACTGGGAGGCACTAGGCCACAGTGCCCTACATCGCCCTACAGCTGCCAGCTGCTGTGAGAGGGTTGGGGAAGGTCTCAGCTGCACCTTCAGGTACCTACAGCTCTGCTGCGGTGCTGCACACTGCCATGAGCCATCCCGAGCCCATCTCCGAGCAGGGATGCTCTGCGGCAAGCTGCGCTTTGGCTAACCCTTAGAGGCATCTCTGGGACTGGAGCATGATGGATGCGTGTGCTGGCAGCACACAGGCTGCTACAGCCGAATCCAGTACATCGCACCGAGAAACATCATCAGCCCCTCGGCACTGACTCGGGGCAGCCTTTAAGCTGGGGCTGTGTACAAGGACTGACCCCTGTCTCTTCCTGGGCACTGCAGCCAAAGCCAGCCCTGAATCCCCAGGCTCTCCCAGCGGCTGACCAGCGCCAAGCTGCGCTCCCATAGCACCAAAATGGTGGTGGAGGGATGGTGGCAAGAAGACACAAAAGAGGATGCTTCTTGGGTTGAAAAAAAAACCCCAGCATGTGGAAATCCCAGTTTTGCCCCTAGCACAGACTCTGCGGCTGCTCTCACTGAGGTCTTCGGTCCCAGAGAGCCTCCATCCTCCTCTGTAAGGCCCTATACCCTTTGAGATGATTGCCCTGGGCCCTACAGGAGTTTAACAGCCGTGAGATACGAAGACCACAGTTGTGTCCAGACTGGCTCCTGTTCAGCTGGGAGCCCTGTGGACCTCCAGCCCCACGGCAGGGGGCTGAGCACCCTGGCTGTCTCAGCCTGAGCCCATGCTCGGGATGTGCCCAGCTCAGACCACCCGCAAGCAGCCTACATGCTGGATGGTGGATCCCAGGCAAGGGCCACAGGCTCAAGTCAATTTGGGAAGAGCCTTAGAGGTGCTGCAGGGCAGCTGCCCCTTGGGAGCAGCGCCAGGAGGCAGAGAGCACAGCAAGGTCCCAGAGCAGAGCCTGGATTTACAGCACACAGCTATCAGGGAGAGCCTCATGGGCCGCAGGGGCCAGGGACATTCCGTATTAGCCTCTTTACACCTAGCAGCATAGTCCACGCACTAAACCTCCCCCTACTTTCACAGCACAGGTTGGGGAGCAGACAAGGGGCTGAGTTAGCCAGGGAGCAGAGCAGGGAGCTAAGACAGGGGAGAGAGAGAGCACGAAAAGCCTTTCAGACCGTGGGCAGCTAATGGAATGCCCTGAAAACAGAGTTGCAGCCCCAAAAACAGTGAGAAAGGAAGAAAATCTGAGTACGGGACCAGGCAGGATGGTCTGGACTGGCTGGTCAATTAGCTACTGTAAGCAGGACATGAGAGCTGGGTCAGAATTGCTGCTGGATGCGGAGCACCTGTGGAGTGGTATGGCAGTGCCAGGAGCAGCAGGATCGGGGGCAGCAGCAAAGGCAGGGGAATCATGGCAATGGCTGCCCACTCTAAGCACCAGTGAAGGCAGAGCCTCTCCCAGCCCTCTGGTCCCTCAGAGTGACCACACAGAGCCCTGGCTGGAAGTTTGTATTAAACGTTTACAAGGGCTCAGAAAAACTTGTACAAAAAAGGTAAAATCCAGACTTCCCATTTCTCCTGGGAAGGCTGGTGGGAGCACATCCCCACAAAAAACAGCATTTTCCCCTTCCTCAAGCTGCCATAAGACATGCTCGGCTCAAGGCAAAATACCCCACTGGCAGCCAGGAGAGCGGGGCAGCGTTATCAGAAGCACGTACAGGGGCTGACCCCAGCTCAGATGCTTGACATACGTTTACACTCTGTCCCTAGTAATCTTAACATTATATTCAGGCTGCTCTGCAGCAGCAGGGGCCACACAAGGAATAACACATGTGCCTGAAGAGAGCATGTCCAAAGGGAAAACCTCCTCGCTGGAGGCCACCATTGCTGAATACTAGTAATACAAAACACATCCTTGCTCTGGGTTGCTCCTTACCCAGGGCCTGCGAATACCCAGGCAGGGAGACTTCAGCCATGGAGGAGCGATCTGAGGAGCAGTTCCCTGCCTACCAGGAGCATCCAGAAGCCCGGGCTGGGCAAGCAGGGATGGGGAAGAGCAGGCAGATGTCATCCAGGACTCAGGTCAGCCCTCACGATGCAGCAGCTGATGCAGCATGTTCACATGGGATAGTTGAGAACAACATCTTGCTTGGCCAGCTCCAGCAACATGGGGTCGTCGAAGAACTTGCTGATGCTCACGTCCTCACTCAAGCCCTGCGGAGTAATTGCAAAGCCCGAGGTAAGTGCTTATGGAGCAGGCAGCACCTGTGCAGCCACCCTGGCAGAGACCCCATTGAAAAGCCCTGATGTCCTGTAGTAAGAGCAATTCTTGGACTCCAGGAGAGGCAGGCAAATTTGCATTAGGCACTGCTCAGCAGCTTGAAGACATCTAACAGCCTTTAAGGAAGCTTCAAACATGCAGTTCCTGCAGCTGAGCATATCTACCAGCTCACTGCCCTCCTAAGGTGGAACCTGCTCCCCTCCATTCCTGGTGTGGTCCCATCTCCCACACTAGCCTAGACCCCCTCCAGAGGGACCTCCCCTGTACAGGTCACTAAACCAGCACAGAAAATAGTCACTTTTTTTTTTTTTTTTTTTGCAAGGGTTGGTTTGGGGTGCTTTAAGATCCTTTGGAGAAGGCGATGCGTTTACTAATCAGTAACTCTAGTTTTAGAGGCTAATGAGCTAAATCAGGTCGCCAAGATGTAAGTTGGGCACTGGGGAGGGAGCGGGGCTCAGCAGATGTTGCAGGACTCTGCTTTTGGCAGGAGTCATTGCCACATCAGCGCACTCGCAGGACTATCACATGCACCAAACAGGCAGCATGGGGGGATCATCAAAAAGGAAAGTCCCTGAGGCACAAGGGACATTATTCAACTCTGGGAACACAAAAGGGACACAGCATGCTTGAGGGAGAACATTACAACATCTAAACTGCCAGTACAGACAGAGGGATGCTATGGGAGTTACTCCCAAACATACCTTCCTACGCCTGGTCTTGATCATGAACTCTCTGGCCAGATGCGGGGCTGGCTGGGGCTCCAGAGGCCGGATGACAATACTCTTGTCCAAGGGGTCACCAGGCACAATCTGAAACACAAGGCCAGGACACGAGAACATTCACTGAGCGATGCTGGGGGTTTGTTCAATCTCCAGGCAAGCCTGAATTACAGGGGAGTGGGAAACACCTCCAGGCTCTGCAGACACCTCTGACCCCAGTGTCACAGCCCCAACAACACATCTGCTTTTCTGGCACAGAAAAACTGTCACATCACTACCCACATCCTTGGTCATTACTGCCAGGAGTCACTTAATACAGGGCTGCTAATCCAACCCAAAAACACATCCCACCTTCCCCACTTGTCATTTTACTTCAAGACCTCTCAAATATCTGCTAACTTGAAAGACCCACAAGGGTCCCAATCAGAAAAGCCAGCTCTAGAAATGAGGCACATTCAATTCTTTTCAGAGCCGATCCTCAGGCTTTCATGTCCTGATGTTCAAATGTTCAAGCCAGAACTTGGGGCTCAGATTGCCGCTGCTGTTCCCATCTTGCTGCACCATGAGCCATACACCTCACAGGCAGTGGCTCACAGTGGTAGCTCCCACAAGACTCAGTTCAGCCCAGCCAGAGAAGTGGCTGGAGGACAGTATTCTGTACCAAACTCAGTTTTCCACAGCTCTGTCACAACTTCTCTGAGCACAACAGCTGAAGTGTAGTCTCCTGCCTTCTAGACCTGGGCAGCTCACAGCAGATGGACCCTGAGCCCACTCCAAAGCTTTCTGCTCCCCAAACTGCAGTAAGCTCAGTGCACCAAGAGCTTCCCTTCTGAATGAGGATGCCCTTTCTCCAGGCGCTGAAGGACCCTTACGCTCAGCGAGCAGCAGCGTCAAGTGCTCCCTTGCTAAGGCAAATGGTGACGTAGCTTGGAAAAAGCCACTGGCTTCTGGCAGACAGTTCACAGCTAACATACGAAGCCTCCACCAGCTCCAAGATCCCCTGCAATCAAGATCTTCTAAGGATGTCCTCCAGAGCAACTGGCTCGCTCTAAGTGAGCTGCAACACTGAGCTCTACTGAAAGTACCTGGCACAAACTGGTGCCTGTCCCTAGAGTCTCTCTCTTCCCAACTCACCAGTGCACAGACTCACCTGCCAGTGGTGGAAGACAGAGAGCGAGAAGGCTTGTCCCTGAGTGTGGGTCCTCAAATCTGTCTCAAACCCAAACGAATCAATGGCTGGGATGAAGGCTTTGATGGTGTAGAGAGGGGAGCCTGGGATTGGAGCATCTTGTGTCACATGGCCTCTGCCAGAGAGTCAAAAGATTAGTCTTCCTACATGTTCCTTCGTATTTCTCCTCTCTAACGCTCAGGAAAAAACAGGCACAATCCAAAAGCTTCACGCAATCTTGGACACCCCCTCCCAACGTAGCACAGTGGCTGGGATCAGTCTAGAAAACCTTCAACTATCCCGTCATATGGATACACCCTCTCTCCTCACTTTAAAAATCAGGACTAGGACTGTAAAAGTCTCTGGCAATCTGGATCCCAAGGGAGCAGTCCCTGCTCTGTAACCCTAAAGTGATGGCAGCTGGACAGAAAGCAGCTCACCTCCGCCTAGCCAGAACTGTGTACACCGCAGATACGCAGTCAGCAGGGGCCTGCACCTCCACAAAATAGTATGGCTCCATCAGGCGAGGGGTGGCCTATGGGGAGGAAGGCAAATACACAACTGAGCCCGCAGCAGTGCCAACACAATATGGTTTGAGCGAGAGTCAGAGACCAGCATGCTCTGGTCAAACACAGTGCCTGACTGGGGATAAAAGGGTTCACATCTCTGTCCCATGGGTGCCCAAAGAAACCTCCAACAAACCTTGAAAGGAGCTTTCCTCCTGCTGGCCCTGAGCCACGCATTTCCCTCTCCCCCGCGCCCACCTTTCCTGGCAAGCCAAACACCAGCAAAACAGGAGACAGAGCAGATGCAGGCAGGTTTTCAGGGAACGTGATTGCTTGTAAAACCCGTCTGCCTGCCTGCAAGGACACTGGAAGCATTAATGGGTGAATGAGCTAGTTTAATCCGACATCCTTGGGGCAGGAATGCAGCTCGTGCAACCTGTGCTCCTTGGAGCCTGCAGCCTGTCAGAGTCCACAGCGGCCAGCACAGTGTGAAGCTTGGTCTTTGCCGTGCACAACACTGTCCTCACCATCAGGAAAGCCGAATACACCACCCTCCGGGCTGTTGGGATGATCTGTCCTCCACCCCTGTGCAAGGGCTCCTGAGCAATCACTGCATCCAGGATCTTAAACTTCACGTTGCGGATCACTGAGGAAGGGAAGAAACGATAGAAAGTGACTTGAAGGATATGTTTTCCACCATACTAGCAGCAACCATGCATCCCCAGAGACCCTGAGCACATAGCAATAGGGATCCAGGCAAAGACCTAGAGCCACTGGAGGAGATTCTCCTAAACTGAAGTCCAACAGGGCAAGTATGACCATGTCCAAACCCTGCATATCCCAAGACAGGCAATTCAGCAGTTAATCTTGCAGGGTGCTCAGTGGTCTGTAGTTGAACTCTACCAGGAGCAGAGCTAAGCTAGCAGTCCCCCGTTTGGAGGTAGGTAGCAAATGCCACAGCCTGCGTGGCATCTGCATAAGGGAGAGGGAGGAGTTTGTTATTCCCTTTGTCACTCATCCCCAGACCTGTCCCCAGCTCTGTGCCGTGTGCAAGGGGAACTGGTCACTGAGGGACGTGGTGCTCAGAGCCAGCCCTGCCCTGGCAAAATCACTTCACCAATGGCAAAAATTTATCAATTTTATTAGCTTCATTCCTCCACAGGTCCTACTTACATTCATCACAGAGGGGCCCTTCTCTGGTTCCCCATTGAAATCCCTGCACAATGCTGTCCTTCACAGAGCCCAGCAGCGCCTTGTCCACCTAGAGAGAGACAGACAGCTAGCTTCATATACCGAATATGCATCGCAAGGCATTAATAGACAGACTCCAGTGTTTCAGAGCCACTCCTAGAAGAGCAGCCCTCTCCCCCTATACCCCACAGTGTCTGTTACTCCCTGTCACAGCTCAGGAGCATCATCTTCATTTTGGCATCTAGAGCTATAAATTAAGAGTCTGTATGTTGGTAACGCTTAAAGACAGGCCTTTTTGTTGCCGATTTTGAGGACTTTGGCCCAAATAGCAGGACCCCCAAAAAAATCACAGGCAATTTACTCATCAGGGCATGACTATGTCACAGAAAGTGGAACAGATCACAGCTGGCAAACCAGTAAGCACTCCAACAACATTAGGACCTTGCTAGCAGGACCTGAAAGGAGCTGTAACCTCCAGACACCACAGGACTAATGTTTCACTGAAACATAACCCTGGCACCTGCATTTCTCACCTCTGAGGGCAATGTATCATCTACTAAGATGTTTGGGCCGGTTGCGTCTGGCCCGAAGGCCCAGATGGAGCGGGCAGCCAGCAAATCCCAGTCATATTTGGTCTGGAAGAATTCACCCAGCTTCTTTCTGATAGAAGAAGAAAGGAAGAAACTTTAGGAAACAAGTATTCCACTCACAGCATATTTATGATCCTGTTTCCTTCAGGCATAAAACGGTCTCAGCTTTTTACCTTGAGCACCTCAATTGTCAGGACAGGGATGCTCATGGACTAGCTGGTGTCAATATTGGACCTCGGACCCCTGCCTAGAGGCTGTTGTCTAATACTGTGCATCTCACAGATCTCCAGGGTTCCCTATTTTCCCAATTACTTGCTTCTAGAAGGAGTCCCACTGTCCCCAAATTGGTCATACCTGTTCCATGTTATCTGGACCACTTCATTCTCAATGTCCTCAGCGAGTCCCTTTTCCAGAGGTTCAGCAATCATTGTGATCTTGTTCCTGAGAGAAGAAACAGTCACAACTAATCCACACAACGATGGAAATGGGATAATTGGCAGGATCTCAGGGACTGCTCACTGCCTAGAACATAGTCAGGGAAATGAAGTCAACTGTGCCCTTTGGTGTTACTGTCTGTTTGTAAAGACAGAACTTGCATGCTCACAGCCCCAAAGCCCTGCCCCTAACAACCGCTCTCCAAAATTCGCTCATCTCCAGAAGCGGATCACTAAGGGACAGGACTGCTCCATCCCTCCTGCCAGATACCCAGTGCTTGGCATGGTGGGCTGCAGAAGGAAGCACAGCCAGCCCCAACCAGGCCCACGGGCCAGGTCATGTCCCCCTATCAGGGGCAGTGCCAGGTGTGTCAGACATGTCGGACGTTGCCTCAAAGAACCCCACCAACACAGGTAAACTGCCTCCAGTACAGGTCACCTCCGCATGCCCAACAGTTCAAAAACTGACCTAAGACTACAACTTTTTCTGTTCCCAAAAATAAAGTTTCCAGCCACAGGGGGAATACACCACAGTGAAGGAGGGCAAGAAGAACCAAAAACCACAGCGGAGCACAGGAAAGTTGCACTCAAGATAACATGACAGACCATGACTGCTGGGAAAATTCAGGCATAAAAATGCCCTGGGCTCCTAGATCTTATTCTGTGAAAATTTCCCGACTATTCAGCCTATATTCTCTCCCAGATCTCCATCCTTCAAATATGTCCACCTCATAATGCACTGCTGGAGAAGGAAGACAAGACCAGGCAATAAGGCCAGAAAGGAGCAAATCTGTTCCAAGATTAATAATGAATAGGAGAAAGCAAGGCTTTTGCTCATGATGAGCTTAGGGAATACTGAAGGCAGGACTTGGCTCTTTGGCATCTACTCTAGGATATGCTTCTTAGTCTCAGAAACACCAAACAAGTGCTGAGAAGGTGATAGTCCTACTGAGAAATTTAGTTAAAAGAAAGGACGATATGAATCTCTCTTTCTTCCCTCCATTTTGAGATACACTATAAAGTACAGAAACCTCCCTGGGACTCAGTGCATTACTGAGGAGTTCAACAGAGTTGCCACAGTGCAAGGCTGCAAACCTCAGACCCTTGCCACTTTTCTGGACAGCAGTTGCTGAGAGCAGACCTCTTGGAGGCAATGAAATTTAGTTTCCAGCAAACCCCTCCATCTGCCTGAGTCTCAGATGCCTGGCTCATCTGGATTGCCAAGGGTTCTTACTTCTTATTGGGTGTCTCAGCAAAGCACTTCAGGGAGGACGTTTCCACCACCGTCTCGCAGAACGTCACAACTGGGTCAGCGACCTGGAAGAACAGCAACAGGTTTGTAGGCGTGTTTGTACTACCCAGTTTTTCAGTAATATTTCGTTTTTACAGAGAGACTGGCTGAAACCTTTGAACACCTGCAAGAAAAACCTGGCTCATCTGCCAGCGTTCCAATCAGCACTTCATATGTACCACTGAATCCTGCACAGGCAGCTTTAGCAATTCCTTCATCCAACCAAGAGAGAGAAACATTTAAAGCTAAGGAAACTGAGCTGTCAATCCACAGACATCACTAGGCAGAGACGTCTCTTCTTTCCAGATCTGGAAATACATTGATCTCAATTGATGCTGGCCATGCAGAGATGTAGTACAGGAAAAGGCTGGGGCATAGTCACCCACTCCTCTCTGTGGCAATTTTCAGGCTCTCACCTACACTAGTCCAATAAAGTCAGGCTGTAAGAGTTACTTTTGTATGCTTTTCCTTTTAAAGGAAGCTGACAAAGTCCATGCTAAGGAGTAAGGGACCCTGGCTGCAGCATGGGAGAGCAGACCTTGGCAACGATGAAGGCACCGTAGCTCCAGACAACAGAACTGTCCCTTACCTCCTCCTGGTCCTTTCACCACACAACCTCAAACACACCAAACCTCACTGCCTCCTGCATAAGCAGAACTGACTGCCTACTCATCACAGAGCAAGCCAGGGCCAAGGTAGGAATAGGCACCTGAAGATCTAGCCAGAGAAGTCTCTCAACAAGTCGCAAGCTGCCACAGGGAGCTTATTGCAATGACCTCCCCAACTCCCTGTTCCAGCACTGGAAAGGGACCAGAGGAAGAAAGAAACTCTGTACATTTTGCTAGGTTTATTTTTCCATCCTTCTTGAGTTATGGGGACAACCCCTCCCCTCCCACGGGGAATGATCTCCCCCTCTCACTTCCTCACCTTGATATCAATCTCTGAATACATCTTCCGTAGATCATGCATCACACAATCCAAATAGAGCTCCCCTGTCCCCAGGATCACATGTTCCCCAGACTCTTCCACCTGAAAAATAAGAGAAGGGTTCAACTTACAGCATTACTGCTCACAGGCCATTGCCTTCCAGGCTCCTATGCAAGCCGGAGGAAATATCTACTATAAACAAACTGTTAGGATCAGAGCACCCCAGGAAAGCTCCCAAAGCATGTTGCCTAGCAATGCAAGTAGAGAGAATGGCTTGCCACAGAAAGAACCACCTCAGTCCTAGGCTATCAGAAACAGCACTGCAAGTAGCTGTCACTACTGCCTGGCCGTGGCCAAACTCATTTGATGTGCTCTGCAGACAGCTGCCTCCCTGGCGCAGCAAGGCGTGTGTATTTTTGCTTGATTTATAACGTTCTGCTATTTCCACATGGTTTATGAAATCAACTGCAGCAGCATAAGAGAACCCACAACAGGCAAAACAACCCAGAGTAAAAAATGGTTTATTCTTCAATATGAGCCTACAGGGTAGCCCAAAGCATGGGCTGAAAACAGTCAACATATACACCAGAAATACCTTAGTAGTAAGCGACGGGTAGCTCTTGTTAACTTTGCGGAGACCATCTAACATTTTGGGCAGCTCAGAGGGATTGACTGGCTCTACAGCTATTTTGATGACAGATGTGGTATTGAACTTCAAAGGACGGAAGATCTGAGCCTGAAACCAGATAAGGACAAAGACCTGAATCTCTGCATCATTAGATGCTGGAGTTATACATAATGTTTGGAATTAATCTCACTTTAGTGGCCCTTGTACCCCACCATCTTGTCAGACGGTTCCTTTTAACCCTGCCACTGGAGCTTTTAAGATGCCATCACCCTGATTCCCTGTAACACTGAGTGATACCAGCTATACACAGTACCTCTTCATTGCCTCGCGGCTCTGTGATGGTTGCAGTCTTCACGATGGGCTGGTCCACTCCTTCTATCAGCACCCAGTTGCCAGCAGGAACTCGGTTTACCTCAATGTGGTACCTACAAGGCAAGGCAGTATCACTGAGGTGCTTGCTGTCATCAGCCTCAAGCCCCTTACAACGCTGTCTTCCTCCCCATCCCTGACAGCAATGACTCCAGGTGACTTCTCTCTCAAATAAGCACATTGTCAGAGCTTTCTGTACCTTGCAACCGAGATCCAGAGGCGTCCAACAGTGCAGATCTGGGAATCCTCCTCATCCTCCAGGGTATAGTTTTCTCCAAGGACCTTCACAGGCTGTCCAGCATGGATAGTACCACTGAGCACTCTGCCAAAGGCATGGAACTGAACGCCATCGTCCGTGCTATACATTTTTGTGGTGTGACACATCAACGGACCCTTTCCATGAAAGAGAGGGAAACAAGCCTTTTCTAAAATACACAGTCAAGAAACAGACACACACCTGGTAGGACTCATGGATAGAAATGGATTAATGGGCTGGAACTTGGCACATCAAAAGTTCTTAATTTCATTCCATGGGAAGCTTTATTTCTTCTCTCCTTGTATGAACCGAGCCCCATGGAATGACTTTGGTGCACTCTTCCGGTGTTCTACTCCTTACTCTTGTGGAACAATGAATAGCAGAGGGGATGGGGCCACGACTTACGTGGAATATGTATGAGGAGAAGTGTCATCTGCTGGTCTGCAGACCAGCACAGTCTATCTCCCTGCCGGGTACAACATCTGAGCTGCTACAGATCACAACTTTCAGCCCCAAAAGGTCACTCTAGTGACCTAGTGATCTAGTGACAGTAACCTCTGTAAGGCTTTATGCAGATAATCCCAACTCAAATAAAGATTCTCTTCCTCTCCAGACATTGAGGCAAAACTCACTGGCAAGTTCTTCATTAAGTTGCTAGTTAGCATCGGTGGCTCTGGACAATTCTGAATGCCAGCTCAGTGCAAGCCATATTTGAAGAGGAAGGTTTTATGAGGCTTTAATAGGAAAGATGCTGACTAAGTCACAAGGGTATTTTTATCAGTATAGTTCAGATCAGTTTTCTCAGAGTTTGGAAAGAGAATCAAACTTCACAAAAAAGGGATAAAAAGGCAGCAAAAGGACACAAAAATCACCCTGCAGTTCCCACGTGTGCTGTAGCCCTGACCTAGTCTCTGATCTTCTCTGAACACTGCCAAACAATTCTCTCTCTCAAGGGCTGCCCTGGCAGGCAGCTAAAGTTTCTCAGAGTGAAGAGATTTGTTTCAGTATCGGATGAGAGGTTTCAAAATGCTGGAAGTCAAATCTGTGCAGACGCCTGCTTAGAGGCAGCTGCCCTATCAAGGCTATGAAAGGAGGGTGTATTTGCCACGCTTTTGAAGATTTAAAGCAAAGAGGGAAATGTTTCCTTACATCAGGGTCGCATTCACTCATGGCCTCCCCTAGATCGGAGTCAACACCACCAGTGTAGGTGTGCTCAATTTTGGTCTTGGCCCCCACCTTCGGCGAAGGGATATGCTGCACGCACATGTCCACAAAGCCTGGAAAAGCAACGTTTTGTGAGAATGTGATTAAACAGAAGACTTCAGGATAGAGGAAAGAAAGGGGCTCCAATAAACACGAGACTAGACCTTTCTGGCTGCAATTCACCCACAGCCATGGGGGGATGTAAGCAGTTTCTCAAGCTCTCCTTTGGGGAGATGGTTTATATTTTATGCTTGGGAAAGTAAGAGTTGAGATCTTTGCAAGTGCAGGTAGGCACGCCATGGCTGCAGTACAGCACTTAACTCTGTCCATGCAAGACTTAGATATCAGGGAGACTCTGGAGGGGAAGAGGAACAGCATTTACCTGTGAATTCCCCAAAGAACTTCTTGCAGACAAGCCGCAGGAGGGGTCGAATGTTCAGTTTCAGCTCCTCTTTGGTCAGGTGGATGCCGAGTTCATCCAGAGTCCTGGGCAGGGTTGTGTCCACATCCCCCACTACCTGCAAGACAGCAAGCACCACCGTCAGCTTCGATGTGGGCACCCAAGCCACTGAATCCCAGGTGCAGCTTCACACACCAGCCTGTTACCTTCAGGGCTCTTGACTCTCTCTGGTTTAGTGCTCACATGGGAACTGCCTGTCTGGTTCAAATTATCACTTGGCTGATACCAGAGCATGTTACAAAGACAGAGCAAAGCAAGTTCTACTACCTGCGCAAACACAGGGCTGAATGTGTAAGGAACAACTATAAGAAGTTGCCCACCGATTCTCTGCGCCCTCACTCCCAGAAACGTGAAGATTACACTGCATAATGGCACAGGTGAGTCTCACAGACACCACACACACCACCCTCTAGTGTTCAGTCCCTAAATGCTCAGATCCAAAACTGCAGGAAGGAGAATGAACCACCACATACCTGAGCCAAGATCTTGTAAAGAGGCTCAAGGATGAACTCCACAAAGCTGCGCTGGGAACTGCTAGTTGGGGCCTTTTTAGTGAACTTCCGGCTGTTGGGAGATAAAAGGAGAAACATGACGAGCAAGCACTCTGCAGCCTGCAAGCACTCCAACTGCTAACACACACACCCAGCTTCTGCTCTCCCCAGGTTTTCTTCTTCTCCCTCCCAGTCTCCCTGGGAAAGTGTCATGGACATAGGAGTAAGGCTTACTCCAAATGAAAGAGAGCAGACTTTCTGCTCCTGCTTATGTGGTTCAGAACCACCATGCAGATTCACATCAAGCAGGAGGCCTGACTCAACCCTTCCGAGCTACTCCTTTATCATAAGATCACAGGACAATTCAGTTCGGAAGGAACCTTGGGTGGTCATCTAGTCCATGTTCTACAGGGCAAGGAGGGGAAAATCCTGCAATAAACTAACAGACATTTAAATAAGCTTCTTACGTCTTCGGGTTGAAGTAGATGTCACCCCAAAGCCGCTTTGCAAACTCCTGATAATTGATATCTCCTAAGGGGAAAAAGCAAGCAACAAAAATTTCTCAGATATCACTGATAAAATGTATTTCTCTCATAAAATGAAAAAGCAAAGATTTCCAATAAAACAACCGCGAGGATTCAATGCAATGAATCAATGCTGGTGGGTGGAACTAGGCAGCTGAAGAGTGTGCTTTGTCCCAGTCCTGAACAAATGTCTGAACCCTGATCTGGGAAGACCATGCAGGGAGATGAGCAGAAAATAATCCGCTGAGGATGACATCAGCAGCCCAGGTTTGCACATTTGCTTCTGAGGAACATTTCAGTCATCTCAGTTACACAAAAGATTTTTAACTGATGCATGAAGTTCATAGCCAAATACCCAAGTGCTGAAGGAATAGGGTAATGCTTGACTGTCATGGTGCATTTACAAATAAGAAGACAGCAGCGATAATTTACAGCTGTTTTCAAACAAGCTTTTGCTGAGGGCAGATGTGCAAGCATAAGAAATTTCATGGTGGCTGTGGTTTTGACAGCTAAACTACTATTACTCATGTTATCTGAAGTATGGTGGCTGCATATAAAATCTGGTGGCCACAATCAAATATTGCTGACTTAAAGTACCCATTCAGCCCATGTCTTCCCACATGGATGACATCTCCTACTGACTGTGCCCGAGTGCTTTATCTGTCCCCGAAAGAAGGAGAATCATCTTAGGGGGCATCAAGTGAATTCTGCCATGGCCAGGAAATTCATTTATTCCTCCAAACTCAAGAGGACACATGATATCCTGGCACATCAGTCCCTGACCTCTACAACTTCTCCGTCCCTGAGGCCCACTGCTTTGCCAGAGCTAGGCCAGCTGCTTTACAACATCCTTCTTCCCCCCTCTCTGCTCCTACAGATCACCCAAAATTCCCAATGTGAGACTTCAAAATCTTGGCTGCCCAGCTGGATAATGCAAGTAAAAGGCCCCCTTTTACAAGTGGCAGATTGCCTTGAGTTGGCAGCTGGGGAGCAGAGAATTAAATCAAAGTCAGAAAAGAAACAGTTTCTTAAAAAAGACTGAAGGGCAAGAGTGCAAAACCTCGTGGGCCAAGCTTGTGTCTGGCTGCAGCTGAGTCTCAGACTCTGGAGGCTTTTGTGAAAAGGCTGACAGAACTTAACTGCTTCACTTCTGAGATGCTCTGATATGGAGGCAGAGTGCGACACACAAATTCTCCTTCCCTTGCCATAGCAGGGTTCATTTTTTCTGCTTAAGGGTACATATAAAACATTGGCTTCTGACTCAGGAAATACTTATCTGGAGAAACTATTTAGCTAAAAACAAGTTAGAATTGGATCCCTGCTTTTTACCAGCGTGCAAAGACTGCAATAAAGCCATCCGGACTGAGTTTTGTAGTAACTCTCAACTCCCGTAAGTTCAAGAGTGCATATATTGGCCACTTACAAGCCGTGAAAAGCTGAAGCTGAATAGCTTAGAAAGTCTCAACAAAAAAATGTTAGGAAATGAAATGTTAAACTGTATACGGTTTCTGGATAATCCTTACCATATGTGTCTGCATAAATCTTTGCAAAAGATCCCAGCGTGAAGCAGATGCTGTACTGTGAACTGGAGAAACACACGTTCCCCAAAAGGGGAGACAGAACCAGGTTTTCATCGGTGGAATACATGCTGAGGGAAGACAGATTTTACAAAAAGGAAACAAATATCAATGTTATGAACCAAGAAAGACACTTAAGTCTACTCCCCACAACAAACACCAGTATGCGATAGGGAAGGATTCTGCATTGCCAAATAGTGGCTGAAAACTGGTTGTAACATGCTTGGCTGTCAGAATTTCAGAGTCAGTTCCATTTTATTACTGCAAATTTCAAAGCATTAGTGTACAAAGAAATATTCACAGACCTAGAACTAACAGGTTACCCGCACAAGTGCTTTGTATTGTTATTAGGTACGGCTTTTTTTTTTTTCCCCTCTAAAAAAGGGAGCAAAGTCAGTCAACTGAGGGAAAAGATAACACAAGGCAAATAAGGCATAGATAGAATTGAATGGAAACAATTTTAATGAGTTCACAAGCATGCTAGACAGGATAAATGATCATGCTCTGAACTGCATGATGCCAGTAGCAATTGAACAGAGAAATGCAAGGGAACTCTTGTGCAAATTCAATTTGAGGTTATACAGGTTACAATGCAGACACAGACAAAATGAAGGGAAGAATGCTATTAAAAAAATGACCTGAATGGCAAAGGTACCCTAGAAACAATGACAATAAAATAATGGTTGCTTTGCTACTGTTAAGGTTAGAGAAGATTCCCCTCATTCTTAGAGGAGAGTTTTTCAGGGAAATGTGACCACAGCAATATTATGGTATCAGTTTAGGGGCTGGAATAGACAATGTCCATTATTTTTTGTTAAAATCTTTTAGGAGATTTGAGAAATCTCAGCCTATGATCTGGGACATAGCCTACAATCTCAGTATATCCGAGACACATTAGGCAGCACAAAAGCTCCCCCCACCAAGTCCTATGTCCACTCTCTGTACTGTCTATGGGGGAAAAAAAAATTGATTCCAGTCAGAAGTCATATAGTCAGAGTCAATCCTTCTTAATACATTAAGTTATCTGAGATGAACTTTGAGTGGTTCTTCTGCTCCATTTTCTATGATTTAACACATCAAGAGACAAACTTGTGATTTTAGTGCGCACAGGGTCCCCCAAGAACAGCACCTGTGATGGAACAGGGACAACAGGCACCAGTGACACATCATCCCAAACAGAGAGACCCACACCTGATCAGGCCATTAACTTCGTCTACGATATGTCGGAGTTTGTAATAAGCATCTGTAGGGGGCAATTTGAGCTCCAGAATCAGGCGGTCTATCTTGTTGATGCACACAGTCACTGCTAGCCTCTCCTGCACTGCGTGCTTGATCAGCCTCTCCGTGTTCAGCATCACCTGCAGGAATAACGAGAACAAATACCCCTAGCAAAAGCCCTCCGCAAAATGCTATCTAGGGCGTGACAGGAAGCAGTGACCCTTACGAATGGGGCTGTAGCCTGCAGAAAAGCCTAAGCTCAGCCATCAGTGATCAGCTGATCTTCCTGAAACGTAGAAGTAGGTGCTAACCCAACCAAATTTCTTGAATCCTACCCCTTGGACATTTCCGATATAAATAATCTGCTCAATTTTAAATGATGGAGATGCAAAGAAGTGAGATAATCAGCCTACAGTTCACATGCATCACATCAGACCTGGAAATAGAATCCAGAGGCCTGACTCCCTCCTTTGGTTGGAAAGCACTATCACTTTTCAAATTGTCCTCCAAAAGCCCTTCACAGAAAGCCGAACCCATCCCATGCCTTCACCATAAGGCAGGATCAAAGAATCCAATGTAAGATTGTTTGTAATTAACCCTCAGGTTAACTCACCCCCTCAGCCGCATCAATGAAAAGCACAACGCCGTCCGAAATACGAAGGCCAGCTGTGACCTCATCAGAAAAATTGACGTGGCCTTTGAAAACAAAATGGAAGAGAGGACCAGAATAAGCACAGCCCTGATGCCAGCAGCGCAGAAGGGAGAAGCCTGCCCCTCTGCTCTGCCACTTGCTGTGGTTACTGCTCTCCAGCGAGGCAGAACACAGACTGCTCCCTCCTCAGACAGTGACTCAGGAGCAGCTGCCAGAGCTCCATGTAGGGACTCACTTCAGTGTTAACGCTATTTTTTGTGAACACAACAACTAGTTTAACAGGCACTTTTCCTTGCGTTTGTTAATGTGTTTCCCAAAGCTCAGTGCAAACACTTCAAGAAAAAGAGGACGATTACTTCTCACGGAAGAAGAGCAGATGATTCTCCCTCCAGCCTCTTTCTGCTGCACTTTAACCTCTCTTACCTTTAGCTGTAACCCAATAGAGTGTCCAGAGACCCTCCTTCCTAAAGCTCTGTCTCAGTTTCCTGCAAAATGCTGATCTGCGATTACATCCCCCCATAGGAGCTTGTCAGAGGCTTCAAGTAATGCACTGAGAGTCTCACTATGGGGCAACAGCATTTGAGAAAATCCGGAAAAGCCAATTCTGCATCTGCTTCTCACATACTTCAGTCAAATGTTTTCAGCCTCATTATGCCTGAAAATTGGAAACAGTAACTAAAAGCCAGCTGCAGAGTCATTATTGCTGGAAGTGATTTCAGAAGAATGAACCCAACTAAAGGCTCAGGTTCCAAGACCAGGCTACACCCACAAAAATACAAAACCAAACACAGGTTTTCCATTTGTGAAAGGAAACTTTCCAAGGTATCACTGCACTTAAGTGGCATTTCCAGGCAAAATCACGGATCAATGACATTTAAGGGCACAGATTTTCATACTGTTTTTCTGAGAGCCAGTGCTACACAATCCCACCACAATCCAACACAAAAGCTCTTTGACGGCCCTCACTTAACCCGTATGTATTTTTACTGCTCTGCTCCTGCCAATAGCACTATCCAGAGGATCAGAGCTTTATTACTGAAAGAAACCTTTATTCGCATGATCGTATTTCTTCTTCATGCATTAAGCTGCCTTCTACTAAGTGCCTCCCAAAAAAGGATTTTCAGGATTATATAATCACCTGGGGTGTCAATGATGTTGAAGAGAAAAGACTTCCCTTTGGTGTCTGGCAGAACAATAGTCACTGGTGTGCTCTTGATCCCTACACCCCTCTGCAAGAGAGGAAACCAGAATTATCAGTTAAAGAAAAAAATCCCAATGTGAAGATGTAAAAGATGACCAAGAAAAAAATAATCAAAAAGATGGAAAGAGGAAAATAACCATCCAGTCCAACCTCCTATGCTCAGGGAGGGGGTAACAACCCCATATCACTGCACTGCCCAGCCCCGCCACTCCATCCACATGGCTCAGACTGGTGAGCTATCACTCTTACGTAGCATAGTCCATGCCTAATTTCAGCTGAGGAAGTATAATATGCAATACCGGAGACAGAAGACCCATTTTTTTCTGTGCTTTCACCCTTCTGCTGCTATCAAGTTATGCCTCAATGCATAAGATTTGATCATACGGCGTGTGAAGCACAGCATTAAGATGAGGAGAAAAAGAAACGGTTGACAGGATTGTTCTGGACATAACGATGTAACAACATCTAGCAAGAAGGACAAAATAAGGTTCCCATCTATGCCCAACCACAGAGAGCGAGAGCACGCAGCTTCCAGCTGGGAAGCCTAGGAAAAGTACTGTGTTTATTTTGAAATCAGAGTTTTTTCTTCTCACCCACCACTGCTGAAAACGGCACCCACAACTCTTGCGATAACTCTGGTACAGATTTTCAACATTACAAAGGTTATCATCTTAGGTGAATAAAAACATGCATGGAGATTAGGGTTGCAGGAAATGGAAGAAGTCGGACTGGGGATCTTACTGCTGCAGATAAAGATGAGTAGATCATTTTATTGATAAAGAACACGATCAAAATGTATAAGGCACAGAATGATGTTACAATGGAAGAGGACACTGCCTACAGTAAATTAACTGTGAGCGAAGCATGAGTTACAATCACTGCCTATTTTACAGGGTTCACTTACCTCCTGCTCCGTGAACAATATATCAGTGTAGCAAAGCTGCAAAGAGAGCAAAAATCCTCAAGTCAGAACATCACATTTTGGAACCAACTACTAAGTTTGAAACAGGAAGTGATAATTCTTTACACATGGTTAGTATGGTAAATAAGTGACCAAGCTGGAACTAGGACTGAGCTCTGCCTTTCCAACCCTACAATCTCCTCACATTCTCATCAAATGTGGTTACATTTTCCCCACATACGGTCTTGCTCCCACAGAGCCTAAAAGCCAACCTCTGCCATTGTTCCTAAGGGCAGGAATACACTGAAAGCTCACTTACATCCTGGTCGTAGCGCTTTCGGATTTCTGGGTGTGTCTGTTCTATCAGGCAGTCAACAAAACAAGTCTGAAAAATAACGAACCACAAGAGAAAGCAGATGACTATGTTTAAACAGAAAAATACAAGTGTATCATCACATCCCATCTACGCTGCATAGAGAAAGGTGGGTGACTCATTATTTCCACAAGGCTGAAGAAAAAGGCTGCAAAAAATTGCATAGAAATAACAGCAGAAAGATCACTGCTGCTGAGATCAAGGGGTCAAAAAAGCAATGGTAAAAGTAAGCAACTACTCAATATACTATTGGGTACTGTTGGGTATCTATACTACCTTGCCATGATGGAGGTGCCCACACAGAGTCACATTCCGAATTAGCTCCGAGTTATCCATCAGATCTGCCAGGAAACTGGAGGAATGAAACACAAAAGAGTGTTAGAGGTTTCTACCATGTCTAAGAAAAGCAAGGCCACTTCAGCTACACTTTCTGTCCAAGGTCGCCACCTGAATCCTCTCCAAGCTCCCATTTTGCCAGTGCCCTGCGGAGGAAGAATATCACTTTACAGATGGGGAGTACGAAAGAGTTGGAGTCTTAGACAGATGGCTGTGGGTGGGAGGAGACAGAGTTGCTAAAACTGCTAGTGATGAAATATTATTAAATATCTTCCTTCTTTTCCAGTCAGCATTAGAGGAAAAGTCACATCCATGTATTCAGATGATGAAATACTTCCACTCAAGTAGTGGCTGCTAGTCAAATGAATCACAGAGCTGGATATCAGGCACCCCAGACAGCTTTAAAAGGTAGTCACAGGGCTCCACAGACTATTAATTCTACTTTTTAGCAAGTCTTAATAAAGTGAAGTTCTTGAGGACTCAAGGAAACAGTAATGGAGTTTAAATCTTTCTAGAATCAGCAACTGAGCAGGTAATGATGGGCTGGTCATTTCTACATACATCCTGGGGAAAACGTAACTGAGAACCTAAATCAGCAACCCCTCTAAAGATAATGGAAGGCTGTACAACAAATATTAATTACTTCGGGATTGTGGAAAATAAGTCCTGCCAAATAATCTCTATTTTAAAAGATTTTAAATTTTACTCACGTGGTGGACTTTTTCTGTAAGGCATTTAACATATAACATTTTGATTAAAAGCTAAAAAATACAAAAATCAATAACAATATAGATTAAAAGCTTGCTGATTGGTCTCAAAATAAGGCTAAGTGGGAAATCAATACCAAGCTTACATGCTCCTGGTTAAGTCCCAGAGGGACTCCCTCTTGGCCCCTTGCTAACCATTTATATCAACGAACAGGAAGAAGAAAAATTAATTACTGATGGAATGAGCAGAGAACACAAGGATCAGAAAAGTGGTAGATAATGAAGAGTACAGGTCTCTGAGTAAGAGCAAATGGACTGCTTAGAAATATAAGATCCAGCACGCTCACCGCTTTATATCTGGCTTTACTGAAATATCTCCGAACAAAGAACACAGGGGACAGCCCAGGGAAGGAGCCATTTCAAACAGGTCCTGAGGGGTCCAAGTAAATAACTGACTGAATACAAGCTCCAGATAAATTTTTTTGCTGCAACAGGATCCTCGAGGATATAAAGAAGGATAGCTGGTGCTGGGCCCTGTTTGGCACACAGGGGACTGCTACTAAACCTGCATTTGCTTCTGGGATTTACACTTAAAGATGACGACTACTAAACATTGGAAAAGGCTAAGATTAGCCATGAAATGCTGTATGGGTTAGAGGATGAGCCTAACAAGACACTCATGCAGCTCAAGCTGTTCATCTTCAAAGAGAAGAAAACATATGAAACCCTATAGCTGTGATGATAAAGAGCCCCTTTACTCATCAAGAAAACACAGTGCCTAGACATTGACACTAAGCATATACATTTTTAATAGAGAAAGTAAAAAAGCACTTTTAGATAGGATTTGAGAGAGAATAACTCAATTTTCTGTTTGGAATTTTTTCTGAGTGGTTTGCTCCAGATTCTGGTATCCCCAGGGACCGCTTTGCAGGGTACAACCAGCAGATACCATCAAGTGCAGCAGAAGCACAGCTTAGCTGCAGCTTTATACTAACCTACACACAACTTGGCAGTGGTTCATGCACAAGTGGTGGTATACAAATCCTTCCTGCAAACTCCTCCAGAATAGACAGGAATGAATTTGAGACAGCTGTAGGCCTATGTTCTTTGGGATCAAAGCAAAATGTCCTTTTCGGCTATATCAATATGAAGTGCGGCTATATCAATATGAAGTGTGCAACACACTGGCCATATAAATTTTTGCTGTGTCAATCAAGAAAAGTTGCTTTCAGCAAACCCATACCATCAGGGTTTCCAACTGCCAAGGTTTACACCAGCTGATAAGAAATGACAAAAGATTTAAGTTCTAGTGGTAGGAAAATTAGTGCCCTACACCGCATACTGTGCAAGGCAAATATTTGTTACTCTTGTGCTTTCTTCCTCTTCTTTTTGCCTCAAAATAGGGGAAACGGCTGCACTCACAGTGATATTGCTGGTGTCAGTAAGAAACAAACCCAATGCTCCTCCTAAGCTTTCTCCTCCGTTATAGCGCACACTACTCTGCCTCTCTACCTTTGCCTGTAAACAACAAAAAGCAAGAGAGTCACAGCACAGACGGATTGATTCAAAGTACACCCTTAAAACCCCTACATATTACTTACTCCATCTCATAGACAGTAACCGGTAACGTCTGTTCCATCAAAGAAAATTTTTTAGTTTTCACGGGTTTAATAATAGGCTCTGAAAACAAGAGAAAGTACAACAAAAATTGTTATGAATGACCCTGAACAACAGTGTTCTCAGAAATGCTAATACTAAACGGGGATTTTTGAAGATAGAAACACAATTTTCAAGCTGAGAGATTCTTTTATCTTTTTATGGGAGAAACAAATGAGATGACTTAAACATATTTTCACATCTCTTTAAATAACCTTCTAGTGTCTGCCAATGTCTACTCTTCAAAAGATAGTTTGTTTGGCATTTGCAGTAATCCAGAGTGCCAAAATCTGGACACTGCTAGACAAACAGGAAGAGTCTATGCATTTTAGAGGCTGTGAGGGTTTTTAAGAGGGATGGTAAAAGTCATGGGGAATGGGGAGAATGGAAGGGAGTAATATTTTCCCTTTTCCAAAGATCTGCTAAGAGACTTCTCCTCGCTCCACACCCAACTCACTGCTTTACACCACTTACCAGTGAGAGGCTGCGTATCTTCCTCTTGTACTATTGTTTCTACTTCAGGCCCATAGACCTCCTCAGCAGTGGGATAGTACTTCTTATCCTCATGCAGCACCACCTCCATCCCAGGGTGGTCCTCGTCATGGTCTCCCATATCATCATCCTCATCATCATCCTCGAGCTGCAACCAACACTCACGTTTAGCTGCTGCCATCCCCCAGGGCATCAAACTGCTTTATAACCCTCAGTCTCCCCAGAAAGTCTTATAGGCCTTGGCATCATACAATAAAAAAAAGCCATAAGCCCACATACAGCCAAAGAGCCACCGATGATGACAACCCCGGCATATTGCAACCAACTGCAGCGCGATTTGCAGAAAAGATCTCCATAAGCAAGATGAATCTTCCCACCGCGGCACCATTCCTAAAAGCCACAGGCCACCTTTAAAACTACAGCATTTGCAGTGATGCCTGCACGGAGAGCAGCTCTTGTCCTTCATTCACAAACACAACAGACACCACTTTTTAGCTGTAGGAAGACTAGACTGGGAGGGGCTTCCTAGCTCCTCCAAACCTTTCACTGACATGGCACAGCAGAACGCCCCCTTCTGCTGTCCTTATAAACACTGCCCATATCTCTGCTCTGGTGTCCACAGTGTCTTACACTGTGCCCATCACTGGGGAATTGAGCTCCTTACAATACTGCCATAGCATTAGTGTATATTAAGAAAGGACTAAGAGGCAGCCTAAGGACCTTACTGAAAGGATCTGGATCTTCTGATTGAGTACAAAGTCAAATATGGCTTGAACTACCTAAGATTGTAACAGAGACTCAAGCAGAAACGGTATTTCTTTCTCTTTAACACACTAACAGGAATGCAGCTTTTGCTGGATTTTTTTTTTTTTAAATCAACTCTGTTACTATCATTAGGAATAAAATAGGATCAGAGTCCATCACCGAAGAAAGTTTTTTGCAGAACCAGGGCCTGGCAGGGAAAAGGAATTGCTGGCAGCTTGTGATGACCATGGGTTTGGCTGGGGGCTCAGTGCCTGCTCCGTGCGGCCCTTTTTGCACCCAGCATGAACAAGGCGAGTAATGGGCAGGACAGCATGCATGCAAAGCTCCCCCCAGACTCCAAAGCTCAACCCATCCCCATCCCTCACCTCGTCCAGATCCTTGGACTCTCTGCCCAGCTCATCATCGTCATCATCAGAGTCCAGCTCCGGCCCGATGTAGTTCCCAAACTCGTCGTACAGGTCGGTGTCCATGCTGCAGGGTGGAGGGACAGGGACGCGGATCAGCGGGTGGGTGGTGATACTGCTGCGTGCACTGCCCTGCACTGACCCCATCCCCGGGACTGCCCCACACCGGGACCCCCGGCCCGCTATGGCCTGCACTGATGCCATCCCGGTTCTGCCCTGCATTAGGACCCCCGGCCTGTTACGGCCTGCACTGCCCCCCGTATCGGTTCTGCCCTGCACCGGGGCTCCTCGCCCGGTGCGGCCTGCCCTGCCCCGGATCCCCCCA